GCGGGCCGGGGGCGCGGGCCCCGCCGGGGTGGACCAGCTGGGAGGGCGCCGGCGATCGGGAGTGTGGGTGCGCGCGCGCGCGGGCGTGTCACCGAGTGTGCGAGAGCGAGTGTGTGTGTGTGTGTGTGTGTGTGTGTGCGCGCGCGCGTGCGGCCGGCGCGGGTGTGTCACTGCGGGCGGGAGCGCGCGCGGCGCGAGCACGCGCGTGTGTCCGGATGGTACAAAGGGCCGCCGGGGGTGGCGGGGAGCGGGGGAGGGGAAGGGGCACTGCGCCTTCTCAAGCCCTCCAGCAGCGTGGCAGGGTCCCGCAGCGCGCGGCCGGGACTTGGATTCGGGGCGCGCTCACGCTCCGCCCCCAACTCCACCTGCTTCCCCCACCCTAAGCAGTCCTCCAGCCGCGGTGGAGACTAATGCATTGACCCGGAACTGGCCTCAGAGGAGGCACCTGGGGAGGGGGACATCTCGAGGTTGGGTGACTCCTGGGTCTCCATGCACCGCGCATCTTGGGATGGAAAAGCAGTCTGGAAGCGGCAGAGCAGGAGGGAGGCAGGGAGGAGACGAGAGAAGAGGGAACCACTCTTCAGTCAAGGTGACCTCGGAACGCCACAGCCGCTATATAAAAGGAGAGTCAGGACCCCAGGGTGGCTCTCCGCGGGCGCACCCCCTCACCTCCGCCCTTCCCCCTTCCTCAGCCACAGCTCGACCAGGGCTCCCCGGCGCCCTCTGCTGGATAGCTTCTTGGTTCCCACTTGGGGTTCGCGCCCCTACTGCAGGCGTGTGCAGGTACTGCATGGGAGTGAGGAGTCTGTGATTCCTACTCAAGTGGACCCCAAAGTAGGACAATCCAGACACTGACTTCTCACGCCTCTTTTGGCGACACTCTGGCCACCTTCACGGCAGCCCTCAAGCCCGGGCCCACCTTGTTTGGCCTACCTGGTGACTCCGCCGACTTCTCCAACTCGAAACCAGGCACACATAGATCCCTCTGGGCTCTCTGGCTAATCCCTCTTTCCCTCCCTTCGATTTTGCGGCCAGTACCTTCTCTCGTGAGCCTCTCTTGGGAAGGGGCAGGTGAGCTGAGCCCTCTGCCCTTTTTATTTACTCCTGGCATTTCCAAAGTCAGTTCAGATGGTCAAGAAAGGGCCACAGTACCTACATCTAATCTGCAGTCCGTATGGCAGAATGGCAGACAGAGCTCTGGCGAGGAGACCCCACCCCAAGTGACCCAGATGACAAACCGGTTTCTCCACTTCTTGATCTACCCAGTCCCAGCCTTAATCTGGGCTCTCCTTTCCTGCCCGCCCCCAGGTTTACCTTTGAGCCAGCCACATGCCCAGCTAGGGGCAAGGTCCCAAATGCCCCCTTGCAGATCAATGTCCAGTTGCACGAACTCAGGTGGCAGGGCAAGGCAGGGGGAGGGGACTCTCTCAGCCCCAGCTGGACAGCTCAGGAGCTGTGTCATGGACACACGAAGTCTGAGCACATAACCCTAGCAGTAGGCATCCGGACTTCTCCACTCCTGGACCAGCTGTTTCTCCCTCTGCCAATGGGATGGTGCCCATCTTTTGGCCTTTGGGCACTCAGGCACCATTCCAGCTCCCTGCCTGGCTGTCTGCCCAGGATGGGCACAAGGAGGCAGCAGGCCTTGTGCAGGGGAGGGGTCACAGTAAGACTCTAGAGCCTGGAGCCTGGGCACACATCTCTTCTCCCTTCAGGCCTTGGCACAACTACATAAGACTTTTCTGCCCTTCTGGTCTCCCAGCACAGATTTCCCCCAAGGAACAGGATCTCCTCCAGCCTGCATTCTATGCTCACCTAAGGGGAAGGGCATCAGCAGGTACTTTACCCATGGTCTCTTATTTAATCCCAGTGTATCAGCTGCATATCAAAGGTTCACAGCTGTCATCCTAGCACTTGGTATCCCAACAGGCCAGAGGATCACCACAAAATTTATGGCCAGCCTGATCTACGCAGTGAGCTCCAGGCCAGCCAGGGGTATATAATGAGAGCAGCCTAAGCAACAAAAGAAAACAGAAATAAAAGAAGTGCAGCTCAGCAATCTAGCCAGTTCCCCAATTCATGAGCCCAAGATGAAATGGGACCCAGGTCTACCTGGCTTCAGGACTCCCAGCCTCTTTTCTATCACCACCACCACCATCTCACCTGCGGCTGTCAGAAGCAGGGACCAGTCCAGGCACTCCAAGTCTTACATCCATACCATTGTTAGCAGAAAGCTGGGGAAAGAATGAAGTCAGGAGTTAGGGCAGGCCCCTGTCAGTCCCAAGGACTTGGCATTCTCCCCTAGGTGATGACTGGAAAGATGCTCATCCCATCACATGGAGACTTTCCTGCCCTTACACTAAACTGGTCACAACTGAGTGGGAAAGGGTCTGTGAATGGGCTCCCAGGAATTACAGACAGCTCCAAGTTGTCACAGGACAAACTACTCCTGTTCTCCTCTCCCTGCCTTAAGGGAGCTCCCTGGAAAAAGGACCCTCCTTGGCAAAGGGTACATTAGGTTCAGATAGGTTTTGTGGGGGAGTTTGTTGTTGTTGCTTCGAGGGAGTCTGGCCTCTAACTCACAATCCTCCTGCCACAGCTTCCATAGTGTTGGGGTTACAAGTGTTTGATACCAGGAACAGTTTGTGTAGGTCACTTCTTTGGTTCTTGTATTTTGTTTTGTCTTTTTAAGTTTTTTTCTTTGTTCTTTTTTTGGTCTTTTTGAGACAGGGTCTCCCTGTAGCCCCAGCTGGCCTAGAACTCACTGTGTAGACCAAGCTGTCTTTGAACTCACAGAGATTTGCCTGCTTCTGTCTCCTGAGTGCTAGGATTCTTTTTTTTTCTTGTCTTTTCTTCTTTTTTAATATTTTATTTATTAGTTTTATTTTATGTGTATGAGTGTATTGCCTGCAGGTATGTGAGTGCACCTGTGTCATGCAATGTTGCGAAGGTCAGAAGAGGGGTTTGGATTCCCCTGGAACTAGAGTTAAGGACGGTTCATAGCCACCATGTGGATGCTGGGAATCGAACCCGGGTCCTCTGCAAGAGCAGTCAGTGCTCTTAACTGCTGAGCTGTCTCTCCAGCCCCTCTTTTTTCTTTTTTCTTTTTTCTTTTTTTTTTTTCCTTTGATCTTTTGAAACAGGGTCTCCCTGTAGCCCCAGCTGGCCTGCAACTCACAGAGATCTGCCTGCCTCTGCCTCCCAAGTGCTGGGCCACCATGTCCAGCCTCTCTTTTCTCTCTTTTTTTTGAGACAGGGTCTCCCAGTAGCCCCAGCTGACTTGGAACTTACTATGTAGACCAGGCTGGCCTTAAACTCACAGAGATCTGCCTGCCTCTGCCTCCTGAGTACTGGGATTAAAGGCGTGTGCCACCATGCCTGGTTTTCTTTTTTCTTTTTTAAGACAGAGTTTCACTATGTATCCCTGGCTGACCTGGAACTTGCTATGTAGACAGGGCTGGCCTCAAACTCACAGAAATCTGCCTGTTTC